TTCATCTGTCATATTTTTTTTACAGAAAATAATAAAATTTTCAGGCGTTAACTGTCTTTCAGTTTTTTTAAAATCGTGCATTAAAAAATGTAATGATAAAAATTTTTTTACATCAGGGGGATCAATAAAATAATTGACTATTTGAGATGAACATTTTTTTTCAATTGATTTTAATATAAAATCATCTAAAAATCCTCCTGCTATATTAACATCTTGTGAAGTACGTTTTAATGATTTTTTTGCCTTTTTGGATTGTTCCTGTATTAGGTCCTTTGCTTTTATAAATGTTATTGAAGAACCTACTTTGGACAATCTAGGTTTGTTCCAGTAACATTCTACTGATGTAGGACTCTTTTGCTCACTTCTCCTATGTAGCCAATATAAAAATGCTACTGCATGTTTACATCCACCTAAAATAAATAAAATACTATAAATGTCAATTTTTGCAAGGCATAAAAATAGATTTCATGTGGAAAAAGTAAAAAAAAAACTTTAAAAGAATAAAACAATTATGAATTATTTTTAAGAATAAATTTAATACTATGACAATTACTTACCAAGAGAAGCTGTGCAGTCCTCACATATAGATTTTAAATTTTTTTCGTTTTTTGTATCTATTTTGGCAGAAACTTCATATAGTTTTAACCTAACTCGGTGTTCAGGAGTAATACGTCCTTTCACAACAACATCATCTTCTCTCTTTATCTGGACATAACCAATAGCTTCGTCACCATAGGAAGATCTAGCAGCCCTACAATATATTAATGCATTTAAATATATACTTATAATTGGGAGTTTCTTCAAAATAACTAACCTCAGAGTTTTTACATTTCGGTACTCGGCACTTATATAATCCATATTTTCAATATAATATTCGTGTATCATAAAGTAATCCACTCGGGGAAGATTATTTGAATCAGCTTTCACAAAACCTTGTTCCATTTTTCACAAAAATAAACTTAAAGAATAAAATCCACAACAAAAAACCACAAGTGATGCTACAAACAGACAACAGGCTACAAGCACGTGTAAACAAATGGTTGGTCCAGAGAGAAGGTCTTATCTCTGGGTTGGTCTCGTATAGTGATGTGTTCTGTGTTGTTATTTAACTATCTGTTATTTTTAAGCTGTAATTTGGAACACAACTGTTACAACTGTTAATCTAGTTCAAAAATAACAGGTGTAAAATAACGCCACAACCACAACTCAAAATGGTTGGCGATTGCTTCCTCACGAAATGCGACTTAAGGAGAACGTTAATTTGCAATAACGTGCGTTACATGCGTTATTTTAATAGAGAGTTTTAGCAAATGTACGTAAGATTTCCGCTAACGTTACGTTAAACTTAGATTGTGACCTTTCTCATAAACATTGAACAGAGTAGATTACAGTCTATCCCTAAGGTAACGTTAGCGGATGGTTAGCGGCTGTTTGCTAAAACTCCCTAATAACACAAATAGCAATCGTTACTTAGGTATTTTTTACTACTGTTATTACAGTGTTGCATGCGTTCAAGTTTCTGGGCATATTGGCGCTGGACTCAGGACCGTTCCAAGGGTGAGATTACAGAACGTCTGCAACTTTGCAGATCTGCAAATATGGCGGTAACTTTGAAAATCTGCAAATATGACTGACTTACACATGCAAGTATCAAGTTTTCGTATTCCAAATTTGGGTTTAGTGTACCCCTGTTGGGGGTAATAAACCACAATAAATATTGCGAATTTGCAGATATTTTTTAGAATACTTGCATTTGTAAGTCCGCCATATTTGCAGATACGCAAAGTTGCAGATCTGCAAAGTTGCAGACGTTCTGTAATCTCACCCCAAGTCTACTGGGTAGCTATTCTTAAATTCGAGGGAACAGAAAACCGGTTTTTCCTCTTTATCTGCAAAGCACAAAATTTGTATTTTTGTCTCATTCTTTCCTCAAAATTTTTACTCCCCGAGATTCAAGAATAAATACTCCGACATTGAGAAATGGTCGAGTAGTCAGGATATTGGGTATTGTTATTTCGTTTTAAGTAGGTGCACAGCCCTCACTATGTAGTTTCCTAGTTCAACCAATAGATGTTAAAAATAACGCCAACCTGTTATTTTAATCTGTTATTTGAAAATAACAGTAACAAGTTGTAACTGGTAAATGAAAATAACGCTTTTTTCCGTCACTAGTCTCGTATACATTTCTTTTCAGCGAGCGTATGATAGCGAGTTGTACCAACATAAATTAAATTATCGAACAAAATCCCCAGATCAGTAAGTACGTCACGTATTTTTATAAAATATTTATTTATTAAAAAAGAAAGTATACTTGCGATGAGTTTTGTTTTGTAACTGAATCAATATGATTAAGATTAAGTGTCGGTATATTAAAAATCCCAAAAATCCGACTTACTAAAATCGTCCATGTCATGTTTTATGTAATTTTTTGAATATAAAATTTTTTTTTAACCACTTTGCTCAGGATAGGGATTGGCACAGGTGCAATTTGGTAAAGTACAATGTCGTTACATGCCTTTGGAGCATATTTCATTTCGTTATCAGATGACGGTCGAAATTTGCAGTGGGCTCTCATACTATAAAAACACTGCCAAAATTAACTGATGCATTATCGGCACAATATGCCGTAACGTCTGCAATTGATAACTCAGATTTCTTTAAGTTTATATTTATGCTAGATGAAATATCCTTAGATTTTTCTGATGGGGACGAATAGAAATTTAAAAGCATTGTCTTAGTTCCATTCTGTTTTTTAAAGTACCTTAGTATCAATGGAAATGTTTTAATATTTCCTTTATTGGATGCATCACTTGATACCGAGAATGGGTGATGATCTTGCAAGTCTTCTATTATTTTTCTATGGGTGTAGGGAGCTAACACATTGGTGACAATTTTTGTTTCTTTTGTTCTACCCAGTGTCATTCTTTGTGCCGTCTGCGAATCAAGGAAAATTTTTGAGAGTATTTTTACCAAGCACTCTACTGATAAGTAGCTGTGCCATTGCTGCACTGAATGCTAAATCAATCCGCATTCAGCAATTTGTAATTTATTCTTATTTTGCTGCTGGCTGGAAAAAATTGTTTTCAGTGTTTGTGTGTTTGCGGCTTTTTCAATATTTTTAAGATGTTTGGTGGTTTTATTATGCCTCAAAATATCACCTTAGCTGCCATGGCCAATTGAAAATAGGCAATCACACAATGTGCATTTAGCCATATGTTGCGAATTACCTTTTATTACATAGTATTTTGATTCCCACAATTTGTTATACGAAACCTAAAAAAATACAGTATACAAAACAAACTCAATTATAGGTAAAGGTAGGTAGGTACCCACTTAAAAAATATTTAAACGAGTAAGTTATTTTATGTAGTTTAGGTAAATATACAGGATGGCGCATTGAAAACGAAACAGAGACATTTACTGGCAGCTCTGTTCTTTATTGAAAAAATGCTCAGACCCGTCGATTTTGTTTTTGAGGGGGACAACTTTTGATCATTAACTCATAGTTGTACGGTCATCCTCCTAAAAGGGGTGGCAACCGCTTCGAGAATCGTTAATGTCACGGGGGTTGGGTAGTACATCATTTGAAGAGTATTTTGATTCTCTTTACAGACATGCTAACATTTTTGTGTTAAGTGTTAAAATTAGTTATTTTAAAATTATATTTTTTATTGAAAATCGTCAATTTAACAATTTAAAATAGTAAGACTACATAAGTTAGACCTTTATCTCTAGTTGGAATGAAAATTAAGTGTTCAAATTAATGCCAAAAACCAGTTTAAGGACGGGGTCTCCCTGCTGTAGACCAAAAGTTAAATCGACCGATTTTCGAAAGTAGCCCAGACAGCACACCAAATCCTTTGGATATCTACTGAACATCCCAATATCCACTGAATGTCCAGTCCATGGTGGATATCTATTTTATATCCATGAGATGTAATTTATAGACATGCAAATATCCATAAATAATAATAATAATAATAATAATTATATAGCAAATTATTAAAAAATTACGCCATTGTGGCTAGTAGTACCGTTTAGATATTTAAAATTAATTTTTTAAGGTGTATTCAATATTCCATGGACATCCACTAAATATATCAAAGTCTAGGCGCGAACGCAAACCATAGTGGATATCCACTAGATGTAATTTTTGATTTTGCTTACTAAGTATAGATGGCGATACTACTTTTGCATCAACTCATGCTCAACCCGCCGTAATTGAGTTCGATCGAAATTTGTTTCACAATCAGACTCCATTAGAGACTGGAGTCGAGAATTTCCATTTATTGCTGAATAGTCCTAATAAGGATAACTTTCTCCTTAGTGGGCAAAATCAAAGGCAGAGTGTTGAAAATATATTGAGTGTTGAAAATATTTTTAATCTCTGCTATTTTCTTTTGACTTTATTCAATAATCATTGGTTACTTATGAACCTCTACTAAAGATACCTATAAAATATTTTGCTGAATATCCGAATTCTTCTATATCCTGGGATATAGACGGACATTTGGTTGGATATCCATATTGGATATATTGAATAACCACAGAATATATTCTGAGGATATCTCTGTGATTTCTTGTATTGTCTGGAAGATACTCATTAGATATTTTGCTGGATATCCATATGATATCTTCTATATTCTGGATATAGACGGACATTTGGATATCCATATTATATCCACGGAATATTTATGATATCCTGTGGATATATTCGATATCCACAAAAGATATTATGTGGATATCTCTGGGATTTGGTGTGTTGTCTGGGAGGGCATTAATAAAAAATTAAATTTTCATCCCAACTAGAGATAAAGGTCTAAGTTATGTAGATTTACTATTTTAAATTGTTAAATTGACGATTTTCAATAAAAAACATAATTTTAAAATAACTAATTTTAACACTTAACACAAAAATGTTAGCATGTCTGTAAAGAGAATCAAAGCAACTTTCAAATGATTGTATTTTTTCGTTGTCGAGATTGTATTTTTTCGTTGTCGATTCGCTTAGCACGTATATCATTCAGCTCCTCATTTAATTAGTGATAAAAGTGGTTAGACTAAACTTCAAAATACTTTGATGTATTCTAAGTGACGCAGAAAATAAGGAAGATTACCTAGGCCAAATTTGGTGAGAGATTTTTTGCATACATAAACAGTATTTGATATAAAAGTGCATCATCTATTAATTCTCAATAACTCAATAAGGACGAATTTCGCTTGCTTTTAGACTATCGATAAACTTTTTTTTTGTTGTTCACTAGAAGTAAAATAAAGCAGGTGTTAATTCCACCACAGTTACCAAATAAAATAGAATTTTTAAAATATGCCAAAAAATGATGAAATGACTAATTCGGAACTATATCAAAAGCTAATAGAAGCAAATGAAAAACAAACAACAGATATTACATCGAAAATTGACCATAAAATAAAGGATATTCAGGAAAAAGTCGGTGAATTGGAAAGCAAAGTAAATCTAATTAATAAGAAAGTTATAAACAATGAAAGGATGATTCGTCGTAATGGTGTGGTGGTTTTTGGACTTGAAGTGGACAAGTCAGATTTCATAAAGAGCACAACTCAAAAACTAAATACACTGTTAGGAACCAGTATTACTCGAGCTGATTTAAACAATATCTACCTTGGTAATGAAAAAGAACCAAAACCACGCATCAACATTGAGTTTACGTCATATTTGAAAAAACAGGAAATATTCGGAAATATTAAAAAGTTAAAAGGTTCTGGAGTAGGTATTGTAAATGACCTAAGTTACGAAGAAAGACAAAGCCAAAAAGTTTTAAAGGATCACTTACAAAACGCCAAAAACCAAAATCTTCAAGCCAAAATTAAGGGAACCAGACTAGAAATCGAGGGAGTACTATATAACATTGAAGATCTTAAGCGATTAGAAGAAGAAGGGGCAAACAACGAAAGCAGCAGTGAAGAAGAAACAGAAGATAAGGAAAAACTAAATAAAAAAAAGACAAAGACAAATAAGCGTAAAAGTGGTCAAATAATCTATAGCCCACCAGCTGAACGCAATTTGAGAAGCGGCATCAAAAAATAACTATATAATTAATATCCAAGTAGTTATTAAAAAAAAAAAAAATTTCTTCAGTTTCCTTTAGTTATTTATTTACTTAGTTTTGTTTTTTGGATTACTTCAACTATCTTTAATATTATATTTTACCAAATAATTCTGATACTTTATTTATTGAACACATTTGCATAAATATTTTACCGTGGTGGAATATACTAAAGTACAATATACAAACATGAAGCTAAAAAAGCTGAAAATTGCCCATTTAAATATTCACACTCTACAGTCTAAAACTGATAATATACGCGATTTAATTTTACAAAAAGATATTGATATTCTGGCACTATCTGAAACTTGGCTCTCTCCACAAATAACCAATACTATGTTACATATTCCTGGTTTTAATATTTCCAGAAAAGACAGAAACACAAGAGGTGGCGGTCTTTGTTTTTACGTTAAAGATTCTTTAAAATTTAAAAATATATCCAGTGTACATTTAAAAAATGACTTTTTTGAACAACAGTGGATTTCCATCCAAAATACACGCAATACAATTTGTATTGGCAATATTTATCGTCCACCTGATACAAATTTAAAAATGTTTTTAGATCACTTTGAAGATACTATATCGACTATGAATATCGAATCTCAAAATTTGATTTGTGTAGGAGACTTTAATATTGACCTACTTGTAAATAATAATGTTACGTCTGACTACCTAGCTATACTTGACGGGTTAAACATGAAGCAAATTGTTATCGAAGCAACAAGAATCACTCTTAGCTCAAGAACATTACTTGATCATATTATCTTAACCGAGAACTTAAAAATAATTAAACATTCTAATCTCAATTTTCCGAGTTCCGATCATAATTCGGTTGACGTAATAATAAACATAAATTTAAAAAAAACCCAGCCCTTATTTAAGCAATACAGAGATTTTTCGAAATTTAATTTGGCTAAATTTGATGCAGATTTACATTCTCTTAATTGGGAAACAATATATTCCTTTAATAATGTGGATGAAAAGTTAAATTTTCTTAATAACTCCATTAAAAATATATTTGATTATCATGCGCCTTTAAAAATATCTCGTTTTACTAAACCTTTTTTGCCATGGATAACACCGAATATAAAACTTTTAATGTCATTACGAGATAGAGCCTACACTAAATTTAAATCTAGTAATAATGCAGTTCATTGGAATTATTACAAAGATCTGCGTAATTACACAACGGGTGCAATTAGAACTGAAAAAAAAGTTTACTTGGAACAAAAACTTCAAAATGCAGATAGTAAAAATAAATGGAAAATTTTGAGAAAATTTAACATTATTGGAAATCCTAAGACAATAAATAACTTTAATTTTAAAACTAATGCTACTGAAATTAATAGGCACTTTTTGTTCACAACAGGAATCGTGAAAGATCCACATAATGAAACACACTCCTTTTATAGCAATAGTATAAAAAATGAATTTGTATCAAAATTTAAATTTAAAACAATTTCGGAAGAAGATGTAGCTCGCTCTATATTGAAAATAAAAACAAAGGCCTGTGGATATGACGGCATTAACATATCCTTAATACATTTTTTATGTCCGCACTTACTCCCATATTTCACACACTTATTTAACTATTGCTTATCAAACTCAGTGTTTCCATCTTGTTGGAAAGAGGGACTAGTTACACCCATACCTAAAGTTGAACCACCTTCTGAATTAAAGGAATTACGTCCTGTGACAGTACTTCCAACTTTATCAAAAGTTTTAGAACGAACAATGGAATTTCAAATAAAACAACATCTGGATACATACTCTATACTACCAACGGTTCAGTCAGGATTCAGGCCAGGTTTTAGTTGTGGGACGGCACTGTTAAATATCACAGATGACATACTAACTGAACTTGATAATAAAAAATGCGGTGCTTTAATTTTGCTTGACTACAGTAAAGCTTTTGATATGCTAAATCACCAATTAATGTTCGCTATTTTAAGTTACATAGGTTTCAGTAATTCTGCAATAGAGCTTCTTAAAAATTATTTTAATAATAGGACTCAACGAGTAAGTTTCCTTAATGACATTTCAAATGTGGGTATAATAAAAAGAGGCGTTCCTCAAGGTACAATTTTAGGACCTTTACTGTATACAATTTACACCAGTAATATTCCGAATGTATTAATGCATATGAAAATACATATGTATGCAGATGATACTCAGTTGTATTACTTCTTTAATAAAGAATATATTACCAATGCACAAAATTTAATAAACACTGAGCTAAAGGCATTATTAGAAGCATCTAAAAAACATGACTTGGTAATTAATAATTCTAAATCAACTATTATGTTATTCGGAAATAATATATTACCTAATGAGTTAATAATCAAAATTGAAAACGACCCTTTAAACACTTCTGAGCAGGCTAGAAATTTAGGTGTCATAATCGATAACAAATTAAGATTTACCGATCACACATCATTTATATTAAAAAAGGCTTATGGAAAATTAAAAGTTTTATATCCCAATAGACATATTTTAAGTAGGAAACTCAAAATACTACTTTGTGAATCGCTTGTCCTCTCACAAACTAACCACTGTGACTACGTATATGGTCCCTGCTTAACTTCAAGAGATTCAGGCAGACTACAGAGGCTTCAAAATTCTTGTTTACGATTAATCTTCAGTATAAGAAAATTTGATCCAATTAGTCATACATTAGTAACTGCTAGCTGGCTGAATATGACTCGCAGAAGGTTATTACATTCGTTGACATTGCTCCACAAAGTTATCGTAAACACAACTCCCCCTTACCTAACCAATAAAATAAAGTATAGATCAGATGTGCATAATATTAATATCAGAAGAAAAAAAATTATTTCTATTCCAGTCCATAGAACTACCTTTTTCGAAAAATCTTTTAGATATAATATTTTCAAAGCATACAATCTTCTACCAGACAATTTTAAATTAATGAAAATATCTCAATTCAAACAAAAACTTTTTGAAAAATTATTTAGCGAACAGTGTTTAAACTAATTATTTCACCTATTTATTTATTTATTTATTTATGCAAATGTGTTATAAATGTGTTATAAATTTATTATGACTTTTCTTCTAAATCGCGATTTCTTACATTTTACTATTAATATTATTTTTTTTTAAATTTATTTATATATGTATACATATGTGTGTGTATGTATATATATATTTTGGGTTCTTAAGGAAGAGCAGCCTAGCTGATTTTGCGCCCTTTAACCAACGTTTGCCTTTTTCTTATTTTTTATGTATATAGGTACTATAGTGAATATTCTATTTTAATTTACTTGTATTTTGTTGGTTAATAAAGACATTTATTATTATTATTATTATTATTATTATTATGTGCCACTCAACCCCCATGCCATTAAACATTCTCGAAGGGGTTGCCACCCCTTTTAGGGGATGACCGTACAACCATGAGTTAACGATCAAAAGTTGTATCCCTCGAAAATAAAATCGACGGGTCTGAGCACTTTTCCAAAAAAGAACTGGGCTGCCAGTAAATGTCTCCGTTTCCTTTTTTGATGCGCCACCCTGTATAATATAATGTTACAATATAATAATATACCTAAGTGATACTTAATAAAACAGGTTGTTTTATGCATACCTACCTCTCTCTTCTCCTTTTTTTGTGGCATCACCAGCACCATCTCTTCATCCTCAGTCAACCGTTTATTTTTTATTTTTGAAGATCCTGCTTCATTTTTCTGAAAAGTATAACAATACGTTTAATTTTTTGTTAACAAAAAAAAAAGTTAGATCTACAAGGCAAGTATAATATTATTTGCAGTTAAAAATTTAGTTAGGTGGGATGTTTAAAATAATTAAACCTTACCGAATTTTCGTTAATGTCCACAAACACCAACGGTGACGGCGCACTTTCCTCTGCATTTTCATTTAAACAATCCACTATATCTTCGTAGACTCCATAGATTTCACCACCTAAAGGCCCTAACCAGTCTATTTCGTCAGATATAATGGAAGAATCCGATCCTGAAGCCATTTTAGCTTTACAAAAATTAGCGTTATTGTTGTAAAATTGTTTTATTGCACTTGCCAAAAGCTTCTCACTTCTTACGGTTAAATGCAACGGGATAGAATATGACTCGCACAGGTACAATGGTAAAATAAAGAAATTTCCACGCGGTAATTCACCGAACAAAATGACCTCGACCACGAAACAACATCAAATGTTTGACCTACAATGCTCGAGATGTCGGAAAAGTGTGGCAAATAATACGGCCGGAAAAGTATGCATTTTCTGCGACTTCTGCGAGAGAATGGAAAAAGCGGGAAAACCGGGACAATTTACGTGAAAAGCGGGACTTGGAATTATTAAAAAAAAGGCGGGACAGATTAGCAAAAAGCGGGACGTCTGGCAACCCTGAGTTCTCACCTTAATTTCTAAAGACATATTCTGCTTCCCATATAACAAGTTCACAACGCATGAATATCAAAAACCAACAACTCAAATCTATAGTTATTTAGAATATAGGCTTGTTTCTAGATGGTGACTGGACAAGGACATGATAAAATAAAATAATTACATATCCCATCTTTTTCTTACAAATCAAAAATTCTTCATTAATTGTTGGCCTTTTACAACATAACGCGTTTAGTAACCTTTTGTGTAACATGTACCTATACCATGTATCAGAAACATTTTCAGTGAAATATTTAACGAAAATATTTTAAAAATATTTCAAAATTAAAGTTGAAGGTAGTAGCCATGTGTGAGTTATATGTTCAAAAAAGAGGTAAATAAAACAAGGGTGGTCCTTAAGATCTCACAAGAGTAATTTAATACGACCGGTTTCGAGGAGATCAGATCCTCATCATCAGGTATGGTCTAAAATAGGTAGGTAAAAACGAATGAGCTCATAACTAATAAAGTGGGATTAAAAAATTATGAAAGTTGTCAAATATCAAGAACTCACCTGTATTACTCATCTATTTAAGACTAAGCTTAGAGATTATCACAGGGT